AACGAGGGGCTGCTTCGGCCTTTGCCTCTTTTTTACCATTAATCTGCTGGTGGCACCCTGGGCGCTGTGAGGGGACGGCCGGTGGCGTGTGGGGATTAAGGGCAGTACTGCATGGTGCAAAGTTCTGGAAAACTAGCCCGCGCTGGAATAGCTTTTGGGAAATGTAATTTATTTCAGCGGGAGTGATTTTCAGCAGCAGTTGTCCGGTGCGTGTTACCTTGCAGTGCTAGTAAATGAGCTTAATTAGCTGGGTGATTAAAAGCCTGCCTTTTTTTTTTTTTTTTTTTTTTTTTTTACACTAAAATTTTATTAATTTTTCTTAGCCTATATATGTAATCTCACAAAGGCTTGGGCTCAGTTAGCAAAAAGTAATTATTTCCAACTTGGTAGAAGGGTGAGGCTGTGCAAACCACTTAGTGGAAGTTGAAGCAGAGGGAGGCTGTTACTTTTTTACTATTGTCCCTTTTCATCCTGTTCTTGTGGGTAGGGAGGGTTGAGATACCATGTGCTGCTTCTGGTGAAAGGCAGACCACCCCCAAATTGTGTTGAAAATCTCTGCTCTTGCCACGTTTGCCACAAGATTTTGAATGATTGTACCCTCAGCAATAGCCCGACGAGTCAGAGATGATTTATTGCCTTCAGGAGGTGAGGTAACTCATCACAGTTGACTTTACATCTCTGACATCACCTGTGCTGAAGGGTTTAAACCAGTACTTTCAACTCCAGCCTGTGTGGCCTCATGTAAACCCACTGAAACAATAAACTTTAAAGCAAGTGACATTCTGAATTCATGTCAGAATTATCTTTTAAAAAGTTTGGTGGTTTTTTTTTTTGTCAGAACTAAGATTTAAAAGGGATATGTAAAAGAAGAAATGAGACTAAAACACAGATACAGAGTAATAAGATTATTTATGCATCAGTTTTCTGTGAAAGTTTGTTTTCTTTTTTTAAAAAACTTATTTTGGTCCGTTTTTGTTGTTGTAACAGATTATGTTGTCTCTTGCCAGGTACTTCATTTGCTTTGCTGGTTGGTAGAAACTTGAGAGTATTCAGAGTGTGTGGATCAGTCTAGTCGATCGGGTGTTGTGTGGGACAGAGAGGAGGCTTCTCTTGTCACAGTCTCCCTGTCCCTTCCTTGGGCAGTAGATTCTTCCCAGACATTGGAAGCATGGCCCAAAAGTCAGTATTTCTTTCCTCAAGTACCAATTAAAGGTTAATAAGGTGTAAAGGAGCCTCCCATTATTTCTTAACACGCTAATCTGAATGCCCTGGCTAGATGCCATTGCTCCTACCAACATTCTTAGGCTAGGTACATGTCCTTTAAATTTACTGTTTCAAAAAACCACCCAAGCCCTGACTGCCAGTCGTGTGTGTGAGCAAATACTGCTGTGCAAGCCAGCTGTTGTATATTTCGGCGTTTATCAGTATGCGGATCATTCAGTGGAAGTTGCCAGGCATTGGGCTGGAATGTTGATTTCTCTGGAAAATCTGCTCTGGGCTTATTTATGCAAGCAAGTAGTTGTGACCACTTTCTTACTGCTTCATTCTTTAATTGTACCATGATATTTTGTCAAAAAAATACCACTCATGATAAGCACAGGGACAAGGCTTTTCGTGTTTAGCCACAAGCTGATATAGCAGTAATATGATTTTTTTTTTTTTTCTGGTTTAGCCTATCTACATACACCCTTTAGAGTTCAGCACATGTAGCAGGGTGAGTTTAGTGTTCCCAAAAGGCTGGCCAGCTAAGACTTTTGTGAGAGTGAATTTAACAGCAACAAAAGCGTTACAGCGTGGGTGTAATGCTGCCAGCTAGCCTGGATCTGCTGCCAGCGTCCGGTCAAATGCTGGAGGTGAAGCCCCACAGCTGCCATGTTTCTGATCGATAGATGGGCACAGTTAGTAACGTGGCACTTGCTGGCTCAGTACTTGACACTGTGTGTACTTTCCTAGTTCATCCAGTACAGTTTTTAGTGCGTTTTCTGCATCATGGGGGTGCTCGGTGATCTTCAGTCCACGTGCAGTGCTTAGTGGTAAAATGTTTGAGTTTCTGTATTAGTGCTTCATCCTTTCTTCACAGGCCAAATCTCCCTGTATTGCAGGGAAGTTATGTGACTTTGGGTTTTGTTCAGGGGAGGTGAGGTGGTTTCGGTTTTTTATTTTGTTAAGGGGTCTTTTCTCAGTTCCCTTTAGAAGTGGTAAAACAAATCTCAGTAAAGGAACCATCTATGAGGAATAAGCCCCCAAGACAGGGAATTAATGCAGGACAGCTGTTGCACTGTAAACGCTCACCATAGCTGCTTCTCCACTGACAAGTGCACTTGGCGCACATAGTCTTCAGAGTTCTCTGCAGGTTCAGTTGAAAGAACACAACTGCTTGTGAAAGTGAGCCAGTATTTTTAAGGTTACTGTGATACTTTCAAGGTTTATCCTATGTAATCTGAAGTGTCTTGCTGTGTTGCAGTGGCACTCAGCAGGGGAATTTAAAATTGGAAAGCACATAAGCACATTGATCATTATTTCTCCCTCACGTTTACAGACAGAAGTAATGCTATTACAGATTTTTAAGAGATTACATTTTTAGTCATGTTAAAAATAACTGCAAATCATCTTCAAGTTCAGGAATCTTAAGCAGCACATAAGTTAGTAGAACAACTTCAAATCTCATTTGACACTGTCTTCTTGGTTGTGACTTTGCAGAAGCCTGTAAGAGTTTTCCTGGTAAATTTAGGCTCATCCATAATGCTTTTCTTCTTTATTTTTCTGTTTTCCTATTATAGTAGCAAGGTGAATTTTCTTAAATGTCCTCTTTTGCCTAAGATTCTGGCTCTCAGGTGTCATTGTTACCTCTTTCAGAGCAAATTAACTGTAGTCCTCTTGCCATTCTTAGTGTTTTTATTCTTTTTTTAGAAGAGTTTTTTGAGTCTTCTATAGGATTCTGTCATCTCTCTAACAGTAAAGCCATGTATTATCAGCAAGTTTTTAATTGTCATCATTGGTATATAGCTCTTCTGTCAGTAAGTTACAGAGCTCTTACCAAAACCAGAGAGAAAGTGAGAAATTTGCCACTTTAAATGAGAGACATGAGATATGGATTCCAGGCTCTTGTCTATGTTGAGAGATGTTGAAATCACAAGTGCATGCTGATTCACATCATACCTAGTCGTGAAATGTAATCCTACCCGCTGTTGCAAGAGGAGGAAGAGGCTGTTTAGTTTCTCAAAGAGGTTTTTTTTTCACGTTGGCAATAAGTTAGTTCAACAAAGTTCAGATTATGTTGAATTTACTTCTGCCTGTCTGTCAGCCTGTGCCAAATATGACACTACCTTTCAGTTTTCCTCAGGACAACTTTTTTTGTCAAGCTGTACCTCAAATTCCTGGAAACTAGTTTTTAGTAGAGTTCACAAGTGGAAGCCAAATCCAGACATGCAGTCTGTGAGTCTGAGACACTTATCTGGTAATTTTTTGCGTAATAAGGAGACACTTCAAAGGTCTCTCTTACTTTAGGGCTTGAATTATTTCACAATAAGTGCTGATTGTATTTATCATTCTGAGGATCGGTTTCATAACGGGGATGTTCCCTGTTTCATGACACAATAGGACCCTCAATTGTCTGACGTTAGAGGCGATAGAATTACTTTGGGGTCATTTTTGGACAATCCAGGCAACTTTTAATGAAATTACTATTAAGGTGGTGAAGAGAATTTATTTCGGATAACTGAAATTTGGATGCTCAGAGTTGAGTTCTGTTGCTGAAACCTTTGAGCTCCATTTAATGTAAATAAATTCTGGGGTTTGGTGGCATTGGGATTAGAACTAGAGTAGTTTTAATGTTTAATTTTAATGTGGGGTTTGTTTTTTTTTTTAGGTATTACTTGTGGTCGTACACGCATCCCTGTTTTAGGAAAACTTGGGACTTTTGAAACTTGCTCCCTAAGACGAATTCCTCTTAGAAACTTCTCAGAAACACCAGCATATTTTGCTTCAAAGGATGGTGCAAGCAAGGATGGTTCTGGAGATGGAAGCAAGGTAATCTCCATGCATTAAGTTTTCCAGTAGTTTATATAAAAAGTTTCTTGAATGTTTTTAGTAGGTTTTTTTTCCTTACTTAAAAGAAGAATCTTCTTGAAATTGTTGCTAACTCTTGATATTTCTGATCCTTCAAATTGCTACAACTGACAGTGAAGAAAAAATAAATGTATTGTGAATTTGTTAGCAGACAAACCTTATAAACATCCCATAATGCTTTTCCCAGTTTTATAAATTTTTTTGCCTAGCATAAAGGGACACTGGAAGACTTTGTAGAATGTTATAAATCCACAACAGGTTTCCGGATCTCAGGAAAGAGTAGTAATCAGAACTATTCTCCTTCAAAAGCCTGCTACTCCCAAGCAGGCTTTTTAAAGTAAGTGCATTTTAAAATGTTTTGTTTGTTTTTTGTTTTTTTTTTTCCCCAGCACTGATTTGGTAGTTGTACAAAGCAAGACAAGTTTGTGAGGAGCCTAGCTTTATTCTTGTTAGTAAATTGTAATCTATTTTCATCCTAGTCTTTCTCTATAATTATAGTTAATAAACAGCTTCTTCAGATAAATGATTACCTGAGAATAAAACTGCTCTTTAGTCAGCAAATAAGATTTTGAGAGTTCACAGGCAATAACTTTGCCTTAGTATGGCGTGTTGTGACATCTGAGGAACTGTCCAGATGACACAGGTGTGTTCTGAAGGTTAAGATTAAACTTTTTTAAACAAATAAAGAAGATAAAAAACTTTTAATAGTCTTTTTTTTTCTTGAAGGGTTGCAAGAAGAAATGAGTAGGGAAGAGAGGTTTTAAAAAAATGGGGAACTGCCTTAGAAAAGAGAAGAGAGATGCTGTTTCCTGAAATATAATAGCTTATATTGTTAATCAAATTATGAAGGCATAGAATGAATATAGATTTAAAAAATGTTAACCTTGAATGCCACTAAGCAGGGTAACACGGAGAAAGACAAGTAGGTCTCTGTCAGGGAACTCTACCTTAGAAGTAAAAAATAAAATATTTCCAAGCAGCTTCTGAGATGCTTGTTTTATAGGCCATATCTACCCTACAGCCATCTGCCAGCATAGCTACATCTGTCAAGGATGTGAGAAGAGTTGTGGCTTCAGAAACCCTTAGAATCAACGCAGTTGCAATAATGAAATGACTCTCTCTATAAGTATGATTTGTTTTCTTTTCTGGGGTTTGAATAAATTATATTGAAACATACTATTAAAAAATTCTTGACACAGTTTAGCTTGTTACTGTTCTAGTGCCACTCAAGCAGTTCTAATGTAGATATGGGATGCCTCTTCGTGGGCATCCAAAATTGGCAGACCTGGGAGATGCAGATGAGTGTACACTTCAAAATGTTTATATCGTGTTGTTCAAAGTTTTCAAAGCCTTTAAAAAATCCTGACAATAGTTATTTTGTCATTCAGCTATTGGCAATATTCACATTACTGGATTCCATAAACATGCTGCTAAATGCCTAATGTAACAGCTCCATTGTTTGGGGCTAATTGTCTGGAAATCTTTTTTAGAAGTCTGTCGGTGACGGGGGTGGTAAAAAGTCAAGCTCTGGAAGCTCTGGGAAAGGAGGGAACCAGCTGCGCTGCCCGAAGTGCGGTGACTTGTGCACACACGTGGAGACCTTTGTGTGTAAGTTTTAATAAATACTTTCTTTTTTAAATAGACACAAATGTGACTATATTTGTGATCTAACGTCATCCTGATAGCTAAGTTTTAGCCTAAGTAATTGTACAATGTCAAAAATTTTGTTATGCTTAGTTTGGCCACGTTGGTGTGAGCTTGTATTGTCTCTGTGGATACGTTTGTGTAATTTCCTATGATGTGTGGTAGAGCAGAATATAGTACTGGAATGCAGACCGCAACTGTGAATATGGAGTTCTAAGCTAGTTTGTTACGTTTTATGCGGTGGAAGAGATGCTCACATATAAGATACCATTTTAAGTACTGATACTTCTCTCTGTCCATTATATAAGTATATATTTAGGTATATGTATGTTTGTAATGCCTGTCCTTTATTTGCTATATAATAAAACTTTAGTCTTGCATGTACCAAAGTGATTATCCAGCAGAGGAATTAGTATATGACAGACAGCTTACTAGGATGGTCTTCTATGGCAAAGTCAGACCCCTAATACCTTCCAAATAGGAGGCTGGAAAGTCCAAATAGAAAATCCAAAATGTGTCAGATGCCTCGTGTCCAGCAGCAGTAGCGCCTTCTTTTTTTTTTTGAAGTATAGTCCAAATTAATGCCAATTACGCTTTAGGTTCTATCAGACTTGAAGACATTTCTCCTTATTTCAGTACTAATGAGACCAGCCTAGAAAATAGCTGTCAGAAAGCAGATACCCATTGTCAGTTGCTGGGGCTCAAGGAGGAAGTATCAAGTCATAATCAGACTCAGGCACAGAGAAGCTTAAGACAAGGTCAGCATAAATTTGTTCAACCGTTGTTAATATCGCAGTTGGTGAAACTAAGGAGTGGATGTGCTATTGTTTGCTGCTACTCTTTATACTAATTAATAAAAATGATCAAACATCATGAATCACAAGACAATTCTATAATAACAATATATTTATTTATGTTAGATAAAAGGATCGGTCCTCAGCTACTATTTTTTTTTTTCCAGAAATAGTAAGCCCTTTCTTTTTTTTGAAACTGTAGGCAACAAGGTTTTCTGAAAAATTTGGCACTAGTTGATGGAATCAGAAATACAGTCCTGTGTGATATTCAGTATGTTGGCCTCTCCCTGGATTAGGTGTGGCTGAAAAGAGTGGAAGGATTTTTAACCTCATTTACCTTCTTATCGGATGCTTCATGAGTAGACAGAGACATTTTGAAACTCTCTCACTTCACTGGTGTGTTTGCTCCCCTTATTACTGGAGTTTGAGCTTTTATGTGGAAATATTCGGGCATTGCCCCAGAGTGGAACAATCACTGTGTGTCCCTGGAAAGCAGAGATGCGATTTAGTGTAGTGCCAGTGTCGCTAGGAATCTTTAAGCATGCTTGAAAACCTCCTTAGGATGCTTAGGAAGAGGATTTATTCATACTAACATTATGGGAGAAAATGTCTGCTATGTGCAATCTCAAATTCATGAGTGGTGATACCGCACTTGAATTGTGGCATCAGAACGGCACGGGTTCTGTAAACAGCTTGGGACTGGAAACCCACTTGCTGCATAAAAACAGTGTTGCAGCTGGTTGGATTTGTCAGAAGCTTGAAAGTCAAACTGTGAGGAAGTCTGCTTGTGAATTAGGGAGCGTATCTACTTTTTTCATCCTTGCACATTCTACTCTGAGGCTTTAGGGTTTTACAGCCTTTATATAAAGTCTGTTACTAGTTCAAACTAAGCACGGTGTCACCAGATAACGGAGTAGAGCAGACTTTTTTTTGTTCATCTTAAGAACAGCAGTCATCAGTTTTCAATTAATTGGTAACTTAAAAAAATTAAACCAAAAATTGTAATTGCTCTAATTTCTCAGAAATTCCTGTGAGTCAGGGTTAAGTTTTCTCTGGACCTGTGTCTTTCTGGTTTCGTCTGTTAATTTGAGCACGCTGCTTCCCAGCCAAAATGTAGAACGTAAAGTGCTGGAAAATGGAAGAGCTAAGTTCTAATTATCTTAAAAACTATTTTAAAAAAGAAAACAAAAACTAATAAGAAAAAAAAATCCTGTCCTGTTCTGCCCAAAATGAATGGGTTGCAGGCTGTATTAAACATACTGTAACTTGGTTTTGCAGAGAAGCCTTTGATGTTGTGTAGTCAGGAAAAATGAATTTGTTCCAATCTGGTTTGAATTACTGAACTGCAGAGCCTTAAGTAAATACCTAAAGCCAAAGGAAAATATGCAATTACCATTTGTTTCAGTTCTTAAATAGTAGTTTTTTCAGTCACTTTGAGAGAAGTAGGGAAACAAAATACTGAATAAAAGCCACGTTTATTAGTAAATTAATTGCCATTGAGTGGCAGCGTGACAGGCTGGTTGTCCTGTGGAGTTTGTTTTTAATGGGGCTTCGCTTTGTATCTGCAAATCTTGCACAAGGATTTGCTTGGCAATGGTTTTCCAGTACTTAACAATTTAATTTAACAACAAAAAGGAAGAATACGATGCAAACCAAAGGGAATTTTGCTTTGACATGCTTTCTCAGCAGTTTCTGTATTGTTTTGGGTTGTGAGACTCTGTAAGGAGAGTTTTATGATCAGTGAGTGAAGATCTGAGCCTCAGATGTAGAGTGAAATCCAATAGCATTAAAGCTGATTGACATAAGAAGCCTTAACTACATGCTACTTTTGCTGGCTCCACCTGATGCCATCAGGTTAGCTCCTATCCTCCAAAGCAAGACTTCCCTGCTACTGTACTTACTTAACAGGCAAGAAGCTTCCCCGCTCTTTTTCCTGATGTCTTTTTACCTTAGAGCAGTTTAATAGTAACCCATTATCTCTACCCTGCAAGCGTTTTTAAGGTTAATCCTCCAATTGTTTTGGCTTCCTGTATGTATTGTAAAAACCCGGTGCTTCTCTTTGGCAAGGTCAGCTTTTAGAAATCTCTTCGCAAATGCAGCCTCTGTGGTAATGCTGCCTGAATCAAAACCAACACTTGACTTGCATTTTATCACACTGTAAATATTTGCAGACATGTTAATGACAGTGAGGTAATTTGATGTGAAGGCTCTTTGCTGTGCTTCTACGTGTTTGCTAAAAGGACATATAAAAACATGCCAGTATTTAAGATAGCAAAGTTGCTTGCAATTTTTTTTGTTCTGTTAAAACTCCTATTGATACTTTTTTCCAGATTGCTGTGTAGATGACAGAAACTGGCCAGTTTCACAGCTGTGTTTTGATAACCAAGTCTCCTCCCCAAGCACCCCATACATCAAAGTTTCTCTGAAACCCCAGACCTTATTGGTCTTGCTGAAAATTAGGAAGATCTCTAATAACCTTCCTCTGTGCTCCTTGGAGTAATTGCTAAAAGTGTACTCTGCATAATAATTTTTTTCAGTGAATGATGTTTTAAAGATGCAGAATACTATTCTTATAGCCTGCTTTTTATTTTCTATTTTTTTAACCATTCCTGTGGATCTATAAAGGGGGCAAGTATTCTCATGACTATTCCATCCTAATAAAGCTGACTGTTAACATTGCATAAGGAAGGACAACAGCCTCATGGCAGCGTAGTCATTAAGAATACCAGAAGTGTTTTGCGTGAGCACTGGGAGAAAGTTTGGGGTTTTTTTCCCTGCAATATTGTTGCTAAATAATAGTTATGCAAGGGAGGTGGGTGCATGCAAGTGGTTCTCCATTGCATTCCCATCAGGCAGATAACAGTAATTTGGAATGTTGCCAGGAGAACTTCCCAGCTGTTACACAAATTTTCTTTGGAGTAGAGTTAATAAAGCTGTGATGGTCACAGTATTATGTGCTACGTTATTAAAATAATCTGCTGGTCTTTCTTACACAGTTATAAGGTATGTTTAATATTAAAAAAAGAACCCCACTCCTCTTTTGCTGATGCCAGCAAAATGGCATCATTGATGGGAGGCAACAACAAGTTATAAATAAACAGCTTGTTTATTGCTAGAGGTTGTTGTTAAAATCAGCTGGTGCTACAGTGTTCAAGCCATTATCTAAAAACTTCTTATGATTTCAGAAGTTTTGACATTGAAGTTTTTCATGTGGTTGTTTTGTTACATTCACTTAGCTTTTAATTCAATACATTTACTTTAAATCAGTCCTGTTGCTCATGATTTGCATTTAATAGCATAGCAATATGGTCAGAAAAGATCTATTTTGAATTACAAGTTTATTCTTCTCTACTATCTATTTTCGATTATTTCAACTTTGCTTTTCCAAAGGGGAGAAAAAAAATAGTGCAAGTTCTAGTTTGCAGGCTTTTGAAACCAGTTTTTTGCAGATAATATGACTTCTTGAGACATGGTTCAGAAAGTCACAAAGTCAAGAGGGTTTGGCTTTTGGAATTGGAAAGAAATTTGTTCAACTCCTGACAGTAAAAATAAATAAGCAGAAGATCTTGCAAAACATCAAAGTCCTGATCATCTGTTGTGTACCACAGCTGCCTCTTGTTGGGATGAGCGCTTTGTGTGACCCCGCTGTGCTCTGTGTCCTGGGCTTAGGTGGCTCGAGCGTGCTCTGTGGTGTTCCACAGCCAGCGGGATGCGGAGACCCGGAGCTGCCACAGCTCTCCTTTCCTGAACCTGCTGCGTGCTATCTTTAATATTGTAGATTGCTTCCCTGCACTTTCGAGTAGTCTGAACCGCAATTTTCTTTTTGCCTGCTGGTTTTGGACCTGCATAATTAGAAGCCCTCATTAATTTTGCGTTGCTCTGAGATGCAAAGTTTCCTCTTCTGAGTGCAGTGCTACTGAATAAGTACGAAACAGATTTTTGCTTTTTAACGCCTTGTTTGGTTGCTGCCCTGTGTTGTGACTTCTCGGGCAAATTGCGTTCCCTCTGTGTCAAATTTCATAGTCCAATAATTGCTTTTAAAGCTTCTAAGGTGAAGGAAGGGGAAGTTTTATGTAAACACAGAGGGGGCTGTGCTGTCTTACAGGTGCTTGTCCTGGGTATGACAAACTCAGGCAGTTAAATGAATGCTGTCTGAGCAATTCCTCTTACCGTCTTGTTTTACTTTTTCTGCAGCTTCCACCCGTTTTGTGAAGTGTGAAAAGTGTCACCATTTTTTCGTTGTACTGTCAGAGGCAGACACAAAAAAGAGCATCATCAAAGAGCCCGAGTCAGCAGCAGAAGCTGTGAAATTGGCATTCCAGCAGAAGCCACCGCCTCCACCGAAAAAGGTATGGTTCTTAATTTCACCCCAGTGTTTCTTTGTATTACAGCATGGTGAAATGCTTTACTTCTGTGTCAGGTGTGTAACGGTCTACTGTGACAGAGCAACAAACAAGAAAGACGATTAGCTCAAGATTAAACCTTTGAGAGCGATGTGACCCAGCAGAGCGCTGATAAGGGGAACAAGTAGATCCAATAAAAGTAGTTGTGCTTGTTTGGCTTTGTCCTGTGACTGAAGTCCAGTACCTTCATTTTCTCTTTGTGACCCTGAGACTAACCTCAACCCTCACCAACCCCGTAGTAGCCTTTATTTCCTTCTATGGACTCATATTCTGTACCCTAACGTTAGCAGCTTCTTTCTGTAGTTGCTGAACCTTTTATTTGGCCTGTTTCTGGCTGAGAACGGGTTGTTTAGCCTAGAGAAGAGGAGGCTGAGGGGAGACCTTATCGCTCTCTACAACTACCTGAAAGGAGGTTGTAGTGAGGTGGGTGTTGGTCTCTTCTCCCATGTAGTTAGTGATAGGACAAGAGGAAATGGGCTCAAGCTGCACCAGGGGAGGTTTAGGCTGGAAATTAGGAGAAATTTCTTCACGGAAAGGGTAGTCAAGCATTGGAACAGGCTGCCCAGAGAGGTGGGGGAGTCCCCATCCCTGGAAGTGATCAAAAAACAGGTAGATGTGGCACTTGGGGACATGGTTTAGTCTAGTCTACCCTTGATTGGTTTAGTGTGGATTTGGTAGTGTAGGTTAATGGTTGGACTGGATGATCTTAAAGGTCTTTTCCAACCTAAACGATTCTATGATTCTAAACGATTCTATGATTCTAAACGATTCTATGATTCTCTGAGAACCTTGGCTGATGAGCTTTTGGCGGTGACGCATCCTAAATCATTTGGTTTCCCTCTCCCGAATAGTGAGGGAGCTTATTGTGTTTCTCAGTTCCTACTGGACTGTAATGATTTCTGAAGCTGCATGTGGCTCCGGGATAGACCTCTTGTAAGACATTGCCTTGAAATTTCTGTTCCTCTGACAAATTTGGGTGAAAATGACAATGAGTTTAAACATTAGTAGGGGAGAGCTGACAGACACAATATGATTGTGCAAGCACCAGGTTTTTAAGTAAACTTATCAACAGGATTATATTTTGTATTTTAGATGTTAGGTTTCTATTTCTGAGTTCTGTAATGGTTGGTTTAGACCAAAGTCCATCTTTGGCACAAGATGCTATTTTTTCTTTTCTGCTGCAAGCTGATTTAGAACCGTTACTAAGATTGAGTTATTTTTCAGATTTATAACTACCTCGACAAATACGTTGTTGGTCAGTGTTTTGCCAAGAAGGTGCTTTCGGTTGCTGTGTACAATCATTACAAGAGAATCTACAATAATATCCCAGCTAACCTGAGACAGCAAGCAGAAGTTGAAAAGCAGACTTCTTTAACACCAAGAGGTTTGTATGATATTTGGTATTTTTTTTTGGTCAAATAAAGCTTACCGTTTCAGGGCCCAAACTTAAGAAACTAGATGTTCTGAATTGAAATGATCTAAAAAAAATTTCTACTAAATATAATTTTTGCTGTATGTGAACTTCTGTGATTTATTTAAATAGTAATCCAGGAGGTTTACGAAGCCATGGGTGTTGCCTACCGTATTGCATGGTTGGCATTTTTTACTGACGCATGTATTTTCCTTTATAAAGCGAGCCTCCTAAACTTTTCTTTCTAATCTCATTTACTGCTTAACGGTAAATCTGCTGCTTAATCTGCAAGCAACAATGCAGATCATTAAGACAATATTTTGCATAGGTAATTTGATGAATAGTTAGCTTTCTAACCTCGCTTGCTGCTCTTGGCAGCATCTGTTGGTCACCATAGTATTGTTCCATATCTAGCAGGTGTAGATGGAGTTACTCTTGGCAGAACTTTTGCTACTGAGTAAGTGTGTAGCTATGTTGATCTAATTTATTTTTAGAAGTAGGATTACGTTACTGTCTCTGATTCAAAGTGTACCTTGATTTTTTTTTTCTATTTTTTTAAAGGTGTTTTGTTCTGTCTTGCAATAAATAGTATGCTAAGCAAACAGAAATCTACTTTGTTTTTTGGATTTACATAAAGAAGTATTTTAACTGAGGGGGAAACATTAGTAGCACTGTTCTGGTAATGGTAGGAGAGCAGTTATGTACATGGCATAGAGAAGTTCCTGGCCCTCCACAGAAAGATAAAATGCTGCACACCCAGAGGGAGTGGCAGTGACTGTTTATAATGGATAGTACTTCAAATTATGTAAAATCTTACATTGTAATGCTCAGATATAAATGAGAGCTTAAAGAAGCCTTTTCAAAACAAAATTATAGCATTTTTTTTCCCCTTCTATAAGTGGTTTTAAAATGAAAATCAGAGGTAATAGATTGTTACTGTTTCAAGTAGTAGAAAGCTTGCTGTCATTTTAAAGCATGCAGGTTGGGTTTGGGGTTAAATTTGACAGCACTAAAAACTAATTCATGTGGGGATTTCTTGTTAGAAATACATTCGTACACAGTGATGAGATGTATTCAGAAGAGGGCAAGAGGTGGAGAATTTATAAGCTTTTATAAACTTATTTTTTTATTACTGTTTTCATCCTCTCTCTTAGAATTAGAAATCAGAAGACGGGAGGATGAGTACAGATTTACAAGTAAGTGAACTCTCTCCTCATGTCCTCCTCTGCAATATCTACTCTTTTGACGTTAATGTAGAATAGTCTTTAGTGACTGATAGTTTGAAATGCTGGGTAAAATCCTGTTTGCTTTTCTTCTGCAAGTAAATTGAATAGATGGCATTGAGTGTGGTTTTAACGGGGTGACTAGGATCTGACTTTTTGTCTAGTTCTAGGTGGAAAGCAAGTAAAATATAAAAAAACATTTTATGAAGTTGGTTAAATAATTATCTGCCCTTAATTATTCTCAGTAGACCAAGTAAAACTGATTTTTTTAACTTAGATCTGAGGTGTGATTATATTAGTAATGCCATACAGAATATGATGTGAGCTAAAGGAAGTTATGCAACTGTTTTCTGCATACTCTTAAAAGGCACTGTCACCTTGAACCTCAGAATGCCCTTTTTTTTTTTTTTTTGTCTGGGTGATGTCAGTTATGTTAATTTTCAGTCCACAGGAACTCTCACTGGCTATTGAACTTCTTCCTAGTCTAGCATAGATCAATTTGTAATCCCAGTTACACCTCTTCAAACCAGTTTTCTTAATCTTCAAAATTCTACCCTGCAAGCCAATTAAAACTGGTGCTCTGAAAAAAGAAAATCCAGCTCAATCTCCATATCCACTTGTAGAGACAAAACCTGTAACAACTGAACTAAGACAGGTCTTTAAGTCTTGAGAGTAGACCTGGGCATTGCTTTTGTAATTGTTATAATATGCCAGTTCTTGTACTTTCTCATCATAGAGATCAGTAGTTTGGGTTTATTTCTTCTCATGTGTTTTTTTTAAAAAAAAAAAGTTACCATTAAAATGAGTCAATTTGTAAGGACTGAACATTTCTCTAGCACTTGTTTTTAATGTAGAGGAATATTTTTAGATAATTTACTGTACCACTGGAAATTCTTTTTGTATATGCAAGTATGTGCTTGTGCAAAAAATATGATTGGAACTGATACTTTTGTAATAATTAGACCATATTTCTGTTGCAGTCCTGTCTCTAAACTTCTGTACAGATACATAGAATTCCAGGTTTGCAGAACAAAACAGAAGAACCAAGCTTTTATTGTGTATTTAAGGTAATGGCAGACCTTGTCAGTGCTCAAACAGTACTGCTATTGTTCCCTTCAGAACTCCTGCAGATTGCTGGAATCAGTCCACACGGTAATGCTTTAGGAGCATCGATGCAGCAACAAATGAACCAGCAGATACCTCAGGAAAAACGGGGAGGAGAAGTACTAGATTCACCCAATGATGACATAAAACTTGAAAAAAGTAATATTTTGCTGCTTGGACCAACTGGATCAGGTATATAGCTGTGTGTTTTTATAGGTGTCAGATTTTTCTTAGAATTGATTGTTAATGAGCGATTTTTCTCTTTTGTGACTATTCCAATTTGGTGTACAAAAAGCGAACCTGTGAATTCCAAACTGGGATTTTGTGCTTTCGTGCCATGGTAACAAGCTGAGCTAAATGGCCTTGAAAAGGAAGGAGGTCTAGTCATGTGGTTTTCTTTTTTTCTTTTTTCTTTTTTTTTTAATGCCTATATCTGCTGACTGATTAAAAGATGCAACTTTCACTAAGCTGAAATAAAATGCGTTTAAAGTTTCTCTGCATTAGATGGCAAGTTGAGATGCTGTGGTTAGTGCTATTTCACCTCTGGGATGGATCAGTTACATGGGGGTTAAAAGAGAAATTACATTTCTGTGTTCATAAGAAGTCAGGAGTGTGCTGAAGTGATAGCATTTTGCAAACTATTTGGGAGAATATTCACTAAATAATATTTTAATTTTGCTTCTCTCCAAAGGAGCAGCAATTAGACTTTGTACTGCACCCTCAGTGTCTCCAAAGTGCTACTGGTTTATTTAATCTTTAATCTATGCAAGTACATGGATTTTGGTTTATATAGTGTGTGACATTTTATTTGTGATACTGTCTGTGTTTCAAGCTGCCTCAAGTGGGTAGTATTAGTCTAATTCAGAAATACAGCTTGCCCAACATAAAAAAAGAGTACGTACGAAAACTGGGTCCCATGGTAAATATGTGAATATATGAACATGCTGGCATCATTCAAAATGTCTAATGACAGTAATGATGATCCTATGGTAAATATTTGGGTTTGTGTGCTCTAGAAAAATGTATGGCAGATGTAACATACGGTTTTTATTTGATCAGGTAAAACCTTGCTGGCTCAGACTCTAGCTAAATGCCTAGATGTACCTTTTGCTATCTGCGATTGTACTACCTTGACTCAAGCTGGCTATGTTGGGGAAGACATTGAATCTGTTATTGCGAAACTCCTGCAAGATGCCAACTACAATGTAGAAAAAGCTCAGCAAGGTAAACTTCTACAATACGTTTCCTGAAGTTCATTCATAGACTGCGTTAATCTTGCCTAAGCGTTCTAAACTTTGAGACAACCAGTGTTTCTGTAATTTATATTCCTGTTCCATGTACCTGAATTTTAACACGTTAAATCGGAAATAATAAACCTGAAAAGAGCTCTAAACGTATCTTGTAGTTTTTGTTCTTGTCCATAGTTGGACAAGATCGCATACATTTTTACCATCTACAGTATAGCAGTGGAACAGACTGCAGCTATCTTAAATTACGTTCTTCCCGGTGTGTAAGTTGTTGCTTCTCTTAAATCCATTTTCTGTAACCACAGGAATTGTTTTTCTGGATGAAGTAGATAAGATTGGCAGTGTTCCTGGTATTCATCAGTTACGGGATGTCGGAGGAGAAGGTGTTCAACAAGTAAGTACTTCTGTGGAGTGATTTTACTTTTTATGTGAAGGGCCCGTGGAGCCTATGTAGCATCCTATCATATGTCAAATAGCCCAGGAGTGTATAGAGGCGTAGCTCTTCAGTTCCTTAATTATTAACCTTTGAAACCCTTATCTTTCCTCTTTACTGTCTTCATTCAAAAAAAAAAAAAAAAAACCACCCTCAAAAACAAATCATAGACTGCTTCATAGAAATGTTTTAATTGAAAACCATCTTTGCAGCACTTGAGTAGCAAGTTTCATAATGTAGGCAAGATTAGATAACATTTTCCATTTTTGGCAAAACTGTTAAAGCAATTCTTTAAGTGCAGCTCATAATGTGTATGGGAGTCACATTAAAGAAAGATTTTTGTCTGTCCTTGAGCAGGGTTGTTTGTCTTGTATGGAAAACTGATTTCTTACTGTTATTATAAAGGACTAAAAAAAGGAAGTACACCTGTGAAAGTAAGTACAGTATGGTGTGCCTTCTTACATGATGCTACACAGTGGAATTTTATATCGTTTATTTCTTCTCTCCTTCTTAGGGCTTGTTAAAATTACTAGAAGGCACAATAGTAAACGTTCCAGAAAAGAATTCTCGTAAACTACGTGGAGAAACAGTGCAGGTTGATACAACGAACATCCTCTTTGTAGCTTCTGGTGCTTTTAATGGTCTTGACAGAATTATCAGCAGGAGGAAAAATGAAAAAGTAAGTGCATCAGGTTGTATTTGAACTGAAAAATTGTTATCTTAATTACTGTTCACAGTACTGACTCCTAAAGGTGTTGCTATATTTGTAAACCCACTAAGATTGTTTGTAGAGCAGTGGTTTTACATCTGTTATCTGGGAACCTGAGGTCAAGCCTAGGAAAGATAGCAAAGAACAAGCCTGTTGTTAGTAGGCTTAAGTAGCTTGCAGTGGTCTCTGCTTCCACAGAGAAAGCTTTAGCATATGCAAATAGGAAAAAAACAGGGCGGGGGAAGGTTGAAGGGTGTTGGTAGAGGACTTGCTGTCCATACCTAAGTGGTTGTTGTGATTTAACCCTAGCTGGCAGCTCAGCCCCACGCAGCTGCTCGCTCACTGCTTCCCAGTGGGAAGGGGAAGAGAATTGGAAGGATAAAAGTGAGAAAACTCATGGGTTGAGACAGAGGCAGTTTAATAGGAAAAGCAAAAGCCGTGCACACAAGCAAAGCAAAACAAGGAATTCATTCATTCCTTCCCATCGGCAGGCAGGGGTTCAGCCATCTCCGGGAAAGCAGGGCTCTGTCACGCGTAACGGTTACTTGGGAAGACAAAGGCTATCCCCCCAAACATGGTCCCCCTTCCTTCTTCTTCCCCCACTTCTATATGCTGAGCATGACGCCATACGGTATGGAACATCCCTGGGTCAGTTGTCCCAGCCGTGTCCCCTCCCAGCTCCTTGTGCTCCCCAGCCTGCACGCTGGTGGGCTGGGGTGAGCAGCAGCAAACGCCTTGACCCTGTGTAAGCACTGGTCAGCAATAATGAAAATATCTCTCTATTAGCAACACTCTTTTCAGCACAACTCCAAAACATAGCCCCATCCTAGCTGCTATGATGAAAATTAACTCTATCCCAGCCCAGCCCAGCACATTCTCCACCCCTTATTCCATACCATTTAGGTCATGCTCAGGTCCCACACTATGCAATAAGTCCTCATTAACCACCACTCCCCTTCCCATGGTTTGATACCATACACAGGTATCATTCCCTTAGGCTATGGACCACCCCTGTAAAATATCCATAAAATGTCCACAGAATGTCCATTGAGTTCATTTAGTCCACAGCTTTGGTTCCATCTCTTACAGGGGTCACTCAGGACAGGAGAGGTGGTGTGTTGTGTGGAATTATTTGGTACCAAAGCCAGCCCAGGTTGGCTCACTGCTGCACTGGCACTGCTTCTTGTGAGGCTTGTCCTCCATTGGTTCAGGTGGTTCCTGCTATAGTAATTCCTGTAACATGCAACTCAAACCCCGGGTTACAACAATTTAAAGGATTTCCATTACGGTCTCCACCCCGGTCCCTTTGGGCCAGGTTATGGGATTTAACATTGCAGTAAGCTCCTCCCCTTGCTCCAGCTTGGGCTTATCCACAGACTGCAGTCCCTTAGGGGTGTACCTGCTCCAGGTGGAGCCTTATCTGTGAGCCACAGGCTCTCCAGGGGTATGTCTGCTGCGGCACAGACTGAGCCACAGCCACGGTCGCTTTGAGGGGCACCTGCTCCAGCGTGGCCTTCTCCGTGGGCCACAACGCCTTCAGAGATAGACCTGCTCCAGCGTGGCCTTACCCACAGCCCCAGTCCCTGCAGGAGTGAACCGGCTCCAACACGGCAGGAGTGAACCGTCTCCAACACGGCCTTACCCATGGCTGCAGTCCCTCCAGGGGCGTACCCGCTCTGGCATGGGCTTATCCATGGCCCCACGCTTTGAGGTGCTCCAGCGTCACCTCGTGCACAGCCACTGGTGCTCCAAGGTGTTCCTGCTGCAGCATGGACTTACCCACAGCCACAGATGCTCCGAGGCGTACCTTCTCCAGCGTGGACTTCCCTTGGGCCACAATCCCTTCAGAGGTGTACCTGCTATGGCACAGACAGAACCATGGCCACAGATGCTTCGAGATGGACTGCTCAGGTGTGGACTTATCCATGGCCACAGATACTTTGCGGTGTCCTGCTCCCGCGTGGACTCATCCACAGGTCGCAGTCCCTTCGGCTCGAGTTCACGCTGGAGTTCCAGCCTGTCTGGTACAGCAGCACGGAAACAGCAGCGATGCCCTGGCCATCTGCCAGCCCAGGCGCATGGCCACTGCTGTTATCAAAATGTTCCCAGGCACAGCACAGTAAGATGATAAGCGGGACAGCAGAACAGCAAGCAGCGAAAGCAAAAAGCAGCCACTAATGAGCACTGGACTCTAATATATAGTAAGGCAAGCAAGCCCTGTGGCAAGCGGAGGAGCCTGCCAATTAACAGCTAAACAGCAACAACAGCTATAAATTCGATCTGGCACATTCCGGTCAAACCTGTTGTTATCTTGAACCCTTTGAGCCCCACATTGGGCACCAGAAAGGACTGTCGTGGTTTAACCCCAGCTGGCAACTAAGCCCCATGCAGCTGCTCGCTCACTCACCCCCGGTGGGATGGGGGAGAGGATTGGAAAAAAAGTAAAACACGCGGGTGGAGATAAAGGCAATTTAATAGGACAGAAAAGGAAGGGAAAATAATAATAATGATAAAAGAATATACAAAGCAAGTGATGCACAATGCAATTGCTTACCTCCCATCGGCAGGCAGGTGCTCAGCCATCTCCAGGAAAGCAGGGTTCTGTCACTCGTAACGGTTACTTGGGAAGACAAACGCCATTGTTCCCAACATCTCCCCCCTTCCTCCTTCTTCCCCCAGCTCTGTATGCTGAGCATGATGCCATATGGTATGGAACATCCCTTGGTCAGCTGGGGTCAGCTGTCTTGGCTGTGTCCCCTTCCCAGCTCCTTGTGCCCCCCAGCCTGCTCCCTGCTGGGGTGGGATGGGGTCAGAAGCAGAAAAGGCCTTGACTTTCTGTAAGTGCTGCTCAGCAGTAATGAAAACATCCCTGAATTACCAACACTGTTTTCAGTGCAACTCCAAAACATAGCCCCATCCTAGCTACTATGACAAAAATTAACTCTATCCCAGCCAAAACCAGCACACTACCTTTGCCTTCTGTCTGGGAGTGAAATTACAGGAACAAACTAGGCTTAAGACCAGGCCATGGGCTGCAGTACCTCTCTGTTCGGCGATGATTGAGTAAGAACACGTAAAGATTTTTTTCTTTTTCAGGGCTGTATGACAGTCCTGATGGCTTTCTTAAAACATGCATAATACTTGGCAGTAAGAATGAAGGGAGAGGTTAAGGTCAAGTTTTACTTTTCTGTTTATAATCTATGTGGATGTAACATTTTCAGACTGTTCCCTCTCTGTTTCCACTGACGTGTCCCGCTTCTCTTCTGAGCGACTGCAGTCGTGTAGAAAAGAGTCTCCTTTTAAATCTGCTGATGGGCTTATCGTATGAGCATGACATCATATGGTATGGGATATCCCTTTGGTCAGTTGGGGTCAGCTAAACATAGCCCCACTATGAAGAAAATTAACTTTTTACATTATTGTCATGTCCTGTGTTTCTTAAAAACGGAATGTGTGAAACAGTTCTAGGAATTATAATAGGATTTCTTTCAGTTGGAGTGTACCAAGTATGAAACTGAGAAAACCTTTGGATATCAGTCGTAAAAAGCTTTTACTGTTGATACTCAGTTTGAGCAAATAGTGCTAAAACCTATCATGTTAAAATACCTAGCCGTGCAGTTCGCTATTTAGCATATTAATGTCTGAGGACAGAGTTCTTCGGGCTGCAGCTTTCTGACAAAATGTGCACCCTGTTTCTAACAACAGAGGAGTGACTCAAATCCAAATTACTGTTTATGGTAATTCATGTAGCTTTTCATGTAAGCATACTTGCATGCATTTGCTTCACTTCTGAAGAGTACTTTTTAGTGTCACTGGTATTTGTAAACTTAACAGGACATGTTGCTAACCTTTTTTTATTGTAAGAAAAACTTGCTCTTAGGCTGATGTATTGATATTTTACTGATGGAATCAAGTGTTATAAGAAACTGATTGTGTGCAAGGAGTCTAATTTTACTATAAGTAACATCTTGAGCTTGAATTAATATGTAATAGTGTAATCAGTCACTCCAGATTTTTTTAATGCACATGGAATGTGATTTAGTGGCATAAAGAAAACTTAACTATGATAGTTCTGTAAGCATAACGTGGTGGGTTTTTCTTTCAGTATCTAGGATTTGGGACACCATCTAATATGGGAAAAGGCAGAAGGGCCGCAGCAGCAGCTGATCTCGCTAATATAAGTGGAGAGTCTGATCCACATGAAGATATTGAAGAAAAAGATCGTTTGCTGCGTCATGTGGAAGCCAGAGATCTCATTGAGTTTGGCATGATTCCTGAGTTTGTGGGACGTTTGCCCGTCGTGGTTCCTCTGCACAGCCTGGATGAGAAAACTCTTGTACGGATTCTTACTGAGCCACGAAACGCCGTGGTTCCTCAATACCAGGCACTTTTCAGCATGGATAAGGTTTGAATTTTTATTTGACGACTCTTCTTGTTTATAAATACAGTGTTAAAGCGATCTGAAATATCAGTTGAAATAATTTCTTCCCCCCACATGTCCACCTTCCCACTCTGGAAAAAAGTAAGCTATCTCGTTAAAACCTGACTGGTTTAGATTGGTTAACTCTCCTTGTGGGGCAAGTAATCTGGAAGTAGTTGAGCTGTTCTTCATGTTAACATTCAAGTGAACATCCCTGACCTTGCCTAATAGGCATCAAGAGCCACTTCGTGTATTGTAGAGGTGCTTACAGTAGTTGTAGGTAAGGGGACATAGTCAATACTGGTAACGTTAGTCAAAAATGAAGTGTAGCTGAAGCTTTGGGCTTAAACATTAAATGTTCTGGTCTAACGAGTAAACCGCTACTGTTTTGTTGGTTTTGGTAGTACTTGCACTGTCGCACTCAACACACTGCTGAGTTATAAATGCAATAATTAAACTTCCCATTTTTCTCTATGTAGTGTGAATTAAATGTAACTGAAGATGCATTGAAGGCTATAGCCAGACTGGCCCTGGACAGAAAAACTGGTGCAAGAGGTCTTCGATCTATAATGGTGAGTACGTTAAGTCTCAGATTGAGTAAACGAAGCTGCCTACGTTTGTGTGTATGGACCTAATTGTGACAATTTTCAGTCAGAACCCCACTTAGTTCTGGGTCTTACATGGATACAATAAGGCTCTTTCTAAAACTGGGTGTTCAGAGTTTTTCCAAGAAAACTCTAGCTCTGAAAATCACTTGCTAACCGTATTGTTATGTAGAAGAGGACATAAGGAAATATTTTTTTTTCCCCCCCTCTGTTTTCTTGTAGGAAAAGCTGTTGCTGGAGCCCATGTTTGAAGTGCCCAATTCTGACATTGTATGCGTGGAAGTTGACAAAGATGTTGTAGAAGGCAAAAAAGAGCCAGGATACATTAGGTAAAACCGTAACAGAAGTGTCAGAACAGACGAGTAATACAGCTAGACGGGTATTCTGATGTTTGCTGTAGGAGCAAGCGTATAAATACAAAACCATGCACACAACCTGAAAAGGTTTCTCTGTACACAGCTGAATTAGCGCCTATTCTGTCCTAGAGACTTTGGGTTTGTACTGCTTTAGTTTTTAAGTAGAAATTTAAAAATAAACTCATATATGAAGTTACTTTAAGCCCTTTGTGTGTGTGTATGTATACCTGTAGAAATAGAAGTAAATTATAATCATCATAAGTTAACAGTAAAAATGAGAAGTTTAACTGTGACCTGTACTGAAATTTCTGAAACAGAAGTTTTTCCTTCCTCCTCCTCCTACTTCCTACCACTGAGGTCATTTGGGTTTTTTTTATGCAAGCTCCAGGCTGCTGCAGTTTTCTTCTCCATTGCTCTTGCAGCAGTGGAGAGCCGCAAAGGCACATCTATTGATTTGCTGAACTCTTGTTAAAATAATCAATTTGATGTTGTAAAGATTGTATTGTGGTAATGATGTGGTAGAACCGTGAAAGCACTGGACAAATCTGGATCTGAAAAAAAAAAGTCTTAATTTTAGTGAACAAAGGATGGAGTTGAGAGGGGATGGGTCAGGTCAAAAACACAGGCCTGAAATTTAGGAACTCTGGCTTGGTTTTCAACTCTTGACAACTTTCTTTTGAGTACATGCTTTGTATTCATCCGTGTCTGTGCCTGAAGCTTGGCTCAGCACACCTAGTGTCTCCAAGGGAATGATTGGAGTGGAGAGCATTACTCTGAAGGTGATGGTCGCTTTAAGTGATTTTTGTAGAGTACCAGCACCCATAAAATCATGGAATGGTTTGGGTTGGAAGGGACCGTAAAGATCATCTAGTTCCAACCCCCCTGCCATGGGCAGGGACACCTTCCACTAGATCAGGTAACGCTTGCTGAAAATTTAAAAGTTACTAATTAAATCAAACGACTTTACTGAAAATCAAAAGGCTGTTGAATTCAGTAACGGGACCACATACTGGTAGTAGTGTAAACCTGCACAGCACTGTTTTCAGATCAGAAGGTGGTTTAGCAGATGGATGCTTGTCTCGGAACATTTGTCACTGGGGCACTTTGCAGGTGGCATGTTTACCAGAAGCTATGGAACTGTCTCCGTTCTTTTCCTCCATTTCTAAAGTATCTGATCAGTTCGTTTTAATTATAGGGCTCCCACTAAAGATTCATCCGAAGAAGAATATGACTCTGGCGTTGAGGAAGAAGGCTGGCCTCGACAAGCAGATGCTGCAAATCATTAAATACTGTCAGAAAGCTCGCACGCGTAAAGCGCACTTGGTTATTTCTTAACGATTGCCTCTGGCTTCAGGCTGATACTAAAGGCATCGGATCTATCTCGGATACGATACGCGATGAGGACCTTTATTAGATAAATCAGATCGTGTATTTTATTGCAACATCGCATTGATTTATTTGATGGACACTGTGTGGACTTGGATGGCATAATGTTCACATATGAATTGTATATTAGACTTGTTCAATTAAAATGTATAGCAAATACAGCAGCACCTGGATTGCTCTTTCTAGAAATTAAACCAGCAGTGCAGGTGCTGCAGATAGTTAGATTTTACAATAATGTTACTCTACAAATGGGAAATCAAGATTAATAATTAGTAGAGGGTGAATAAACTCTTAGCTCCTCATACGGCTCACGGGGGTTACGTTCAGGTCAGTGTTAGATTTGTGCCGGTGTTTGACACCCGGCGGGTGCTGGAGTGACTTGTTACATTGGTGGGGGAGGAAGCCCTTGCAACAGGATTTTGGAAAAACTGGGACACGCTTTATGACACTGCTGGGGGATTTTGCTAAAATGTGACACTAGTTTGTTACAGTAACTTCAATGCAATATCAAATAATACCCTTTCCTTCACCTCACCACTAGGATACGTGTCGGTCACCTTGAATACTGTGAAAGAAGGTGAAGTCAGTCATTTGCTCATTTTTCCAGAAGGGTAAACAAGATTTCTAGGAAGCGGTAAGCCATCTGAATTTGGACGAGAAGTCAACGTAAATTTTTAAATATTAATGTTCTAATATAGTACACTTTGTTTAACGTATTGGAACTATGATGCATCAATTTTTTGGTGCCAGGTATTTGCCCAACCCATCTTATAATGTTAAGAGATGAAAAAAGTAAATGTATAATATTTTTGATGTAATCGGTAGTGATTGTTGACATCACACAGTGCTTTTTAAGTTACACGCTCAAACGCTAGTATTGCATCTTGTGGTTTTGTCTTTGATTCTTTTTTTTAGTCTTGCAGCAGAGCAAAGCAATCCTCCCTCTTCTGTTCTACTCCAAAATGAATTCAATCCTTTAGGAAAGTCTTTGTAAAAACACTAAAGGACCTGTATGGTTTTGATTTCTTTCAGGAATTAAAATTGTTGCTTACAACTGTTTCATCCTTTGGTGATATGTGGACTTAAGTTTTACTGACCCCTTTTTCTAAAATTTTAATTCAAGCTATTTAAATGAAACTTTCATCGTTCTTTTCAGTCTAGTGGATGTTTTAGGACAGGAAAGGATACCGCAGGTGTGTTGACCCTATTTTTGTTGTTAATTTTTGTCATGTAAATTGTATGTAATACTTGTGTTCTTACCTAGAAGCAGTGTGACATGTGCTTGTAGCCAGATGCAACAGATACTTCCCTTAGGATTTCAGGTTTTTTCAGGTTAAATGACCCACTAATGGGTCAGAAAAAGCTGCGTTTGGAGTCGAGGATGTTTCTGGGAGAAGCCTAGTCCCCTCAAAACGGGAATCTGTGGTGAACTATCTGTAACTGCATCCTCGCTTTCCTTTTTGTAGAGTGAAAAAAACTATAACCGCTTTTACTTCCGAATCCTTGAATTCAACTCCTTTTTTTTAAACGGATTGAAAAAAAAACCCAACATTTTAGGCGAACCTGTTGAACAACTTAGTTTTTGCAAGTTGTTTGGAATTAATGTAACCAAGAGCTGTTTTTAAGGAAACAAAACCGCTGTGTAACTACAGTTTGTACTTCACCTCTGGCGTTTGAATAAAACAAAGCGACTCTTCGAGCAGCCGCCAGTTGTCATCCCTGAGACGCCTGCAATGCGCTGGGTGGTTGGGGCTGCTGATGGCTGTATTTTAGCGTTATTTTGTGGGTCCCTGCCCCAGCAGCGCGCTGCGGCGGCCCGGGCCGGCTGCCTCCTCTCCCGGCTCCCG